TAAAACCAGACAAAACTGTACAAAGTCATCTTTTTCTTACTTCATTTGAGCTACAGGAGATCTGTGAAGGAAACTGTATGTAGATAGGGATTTCTCAATTTGGCCTTTGAAAAGGTTATGGAAGAGACTCTTGACCTTTGACTCTTGGCTTTTTCAGTAAGCCTGGGGACATGGCAAGGCCTACATGTAACTGAAAAAAAATGCCAGTATTTTGTAAGGAGAAAAGAGGGTGACCTGAATTTGTCCTGCTAGGCAAATAAGTACAGACAAATCCAGTAACAGATAATGTACATGTCACTTTTATTTTCCTTAACTGGAGATTAGATCACATCAAAATAATTCCAATGGCTTGCCAGAGACTWCAGACAATGCTTATAATTTTGATGATTGTGGTACACTGCTTGAACAAGAGTGTTTGACTTGTTTTTATTGGTTAAGTACTTATGCTGATTGAAGAAATAGATTGCCAAATGAATACTATAAATGCTAGGGAGGTCAGGAATGATCTATTCATACAGCTGAAGGCATAATTGTAAATGGGGAGCATTTAGTAACTGAATTAATATGTTTTCTAATACAGGCTTATTGCTTCCTGACCATTTGCTCTTGCATTAGAGACCTAGAAGACCATATTTTAATAGTTTGTAAATAATAGACGAGACCTGAAGCAGTTAGGGAAATAAATATCTTTTTGTACTGGTGGTGTGAAGCAAGATGCATGTCAAATCAGCCAAGGGTGAATTGTGGTGTTGTGCTCTGGAGCCCCTCAGGATAATAAATGCCTCCAATTTTCTGTCTTTTCCTCTAGTTTTGCATCTGCTCTGAGAGTTTGCTCTCCACTGATTGGTACTTGATTTCACCTTTTTCCAGACTACTACTTGCAGCTTGGTAATAGGCAATCCCAGTGCTACCAGCCTCTCCTTTTCTCCCCAAATTTGTTTAAAATGAGTAGGTTTGAGAACTTTGGATGGCTTTGAATAGGSGCACTTTCTGTTTTCAGATAAATTTGGCAGCGTTGTCCTTGCAGGACTGGACCAGACCAGATTAAGAGAATAAGTTACAATTATTTTAACAGATGTAAGGTTAGGTATTTGATTATCAACCTGTAAATATCTAGATCAAGCAAATTAGTTTAGTGATCAGGACATGCTGCTGGAAGGAGTTCCATAGGAATGAGAGCAAGCTCCCTCACAGTGAGGTTGTTGAACCTAGGGCCTCATCATCAACAAAATAACTGCTTACCACACTGCATCCTTACTTCTGCTCAGGGTTTTGGCTTTTTGTCCCTGGCATCTTGCTTCCAGTGAACGGCAGATTTCATTGTGTGGTCTTTCCTTTGGATATTGTAATTTTGAGAAGCCAGCTAGTTAGCCATTTTGATGGCTAAATTGTTTTATTATTGATTGGTATTTTTGTTTTTCCATCTCTCCTATCTTTAATTAAAGAAAGTGTGYCTCTGGAGGCTACAAATTGGAACTGCTTTGAAACACCTGCATCAAGCTTTACACCAAGCTTTTTTAGTCAGCATGGAACATCCCAATCTTTCTGATTGGTTCTCATCAGCATCTTTTTCCTGGCACTGTTGCCAGCTGGTGTCTCATTTTGGGATTTGTATAGATTATGGGTCTGATGATTTGGTGCTTTTTCTCTCTGTCTTCATGATTCAGGTTTGAAAACTGGCATGCAAATACCATAAGTAGGGAAGCTGCATCTTTTAGTTGTCTAGATTTTTCCCTCTTTTTTTATAATATTTTTTCATTGTTGTTTTAAAGCACAAATTATATGCAGTTAAATTTCAATTAGTTTTGGAACAGAGAATGTCTCATTAAAAATGTGACATTTGTGTATGAAGGGAAGGGAGGAATTTGTAATTATGAGATGTCTGTCAAAGASTGTTTTTTATAAATCAAATGGTATAACTGTGTCCAATGGGGCTTTTCAAAGAATTCTGCTTTTTCTCTGGAGTTAAYGTGGTATTTTTGTTTAATAAACTTTCTACCAGGTTACTGCTGCACTTGTTTTTATTAAATTGTGTTTTCTGAGATGACTGGTTTACTAGGTGCAACGACTATAACGATAAAAGGAAGGGACAGAGTATCAAATCCGTGGGCAAAACTCTAACTTTGTTGGTGAAACTGATTAATTGAAGAGATCCCTGAATGTTAGCATTCTCTTCTCTTTGTCAGGCTTGCTGTGCCCTGCAAAACATTTTGTAATAGAAATGCAGAAAAGTGTGTACTATAGTATTTCCCTGATTTTGTGACATTTATTTTGAAGGGTGATTTTGAGCTGTTGTGTAGCAGTAAAGTATTTCTTTTTTCTAAAGTAAAACATCATCATTCAGACAATGTCTTTTAAGGTTTTCTGATGCATAGAATAGAAATATTTAATTTTTTTTTTTTTAAAAAATAACTATTTAGTTTCAGAAAACTGCTTTTAGAGTGCAGAGTTTCATTAAATAATGTGTAAAATCAATACATAATTCTTGGGAAGTCAAGGAATGCAAAAGGAAGGAGAAATGTGGATTGGGGTACTGGATTCCATAGAAATCACTGATTACCAGTGTCATTGGATTAGGGCATTTGCACCAAAGCAGAGGAACTGCAGATGGGAAAAAGAGGAGGGAGGGGCACCACGACAAGAGCTGGAAAGCAGTCACAGACTAATGTCTCTCCAAATGGGTAAGATAAGATAATATAGTTTCCAAGTGTTAGAAATCTCTAAAAGGAAAATGTTGTGGTAATTTCTTAGATCAGGCAAGAGGCAACAGCAGAGCCCTGTACTGTGTCCTACTGACTCATTCCCAGCAGTCATTCCTGTGTTGTCACTGATGAAGGTTAAGAGTGGGCAGTTGTTCAAAGCGAAAGCCYTTCTTCGAAAGGGTAATAGCTGGGGGGAAAGGGTAACAGTGGGGGTACAAAAAAAAGTGTTTGCAGCAGAAAACATACAAGTACTTTTGTGGCTCTTCTTCCCTATTATGTATAAAAAAAAAGAATGGCTGAGCTTAAACAAAGTTATTTTCTCTGGATTGACCTAGTCAGTTGACTGTGTTAGCAATTGATATCCATGGGGCTCATTCTGCTTATATATAGTTATATATATGATACCTAAGCCACTAAGTATTCTGCAAAGCAGTGGGAAGAAAAATATCTACAGAAACTCTGGATGACACAGAGATGCAGCATACATCTGCACAACTAGAGTGTGGTTGACTCTCATCTGCTGTACCACAGCTGTTTTGCTTCTTGCTATTTTTGGTATATTAAAGCAACCCTMGGGGATCCTGCAAACTTTAGTCCTTGCGATTAAAGAAAAACTTACTGTGGCTAAAGGAGGAAAAAAGAATTTACAAAGCAAAAAGCAAATCCACACCCCTCCCTTTTTTTTGTTTTCTTAAAGCGTCGGCATGACTCATTTTTATTTTTTGTTTCTTTGTTTAGTTTAAAATAATCAGTCTGTTATTTTGGAGGTCTACTCATTTTTGAACACTTCCAGGTGTGGTGACTCCACTGCTTCCCTGAGGAGCCTGTTCCAATGCTTGACAACCCTTTCCATAAAGMATTTTTTTTATTGTATTGAAGAATCTAGTTGCTTTGAAAATCTCTCATTTCTTGCTCTATTGTATTTTACGTATCACTGTAATTTTTCTTGTGAGGAATTTCTTTGGAGCTGTTGCCCATGAACAGATGCAGCATCAGTGCTCAGGTCACACTTGGTAATGGAGTAGAGGGAGCTGCTTCAGGTGCCCTATCTGCTTTCGGGAGGTGCTGCCCCCTGCCTCTGTAGAAGGTGGTCAAGTTGCACTGTTTTCAAAGAGAAAGAGAAATGGAAAGATTGTGTTATGTCCTCTGACTTTTTTTTCCCTTTAAGCATGGCAGTATGGTGAAATTCGCATTTCCTCTTCATATGTGATTTGTTCAGAAGAAGGGTAACTCAAYGTTCTTCCCACGGTCCTTCCTCCCCCTGAGGCTTTGACAGAGGATGTGGGCTGCTGGGAAGTTGGGCATGGGGCTTGCCAATCCTTTTACCTGGTTTGGGAGACAGCACAGATTGGCTAAATACAGCCCTGCTGTTGCAGCAGAGCGTAAGAACAGCTGCTCTGGAATGGGYATCAAATTAACTACTATGGATTTTTATTTCCATGAAATAAAGCTTGTTTTGGCATGTTTATAAGCATGTTGTAAATGACATCAAAATGTATTTAGGAGTTAAATGTCTCCTGAGGAAAAACAGAGGGAACTTTTCCTTTAAAACAGAAAATAAATTTAAAAAAAAAATCAACATAGTCAATCCCAGTGTGTGGCTTTAGCCCCAAGCAAGGGATTTTCCTCCCTTATCCTCCCCTGCCCCTGAGAGAACTCTGAATTCATTCACACCAGCAACAAATGAGCGTCTTGGAGGAAAGAGAAGACTGACAGGGAACTGAGTGCAGATGAGCCTCAGAAATGTCTAATTTAAGTTTAGCAACAATAACAATAAAAAGGAAATCTGTAATTATAGAAATTATGAGGACAGTTACTTTCTGCTATGGATTATTCATTTCACATATGGAGAACCCATGAAACCCAAAATGACAGTAGTTAATCAATTCTTAAAAGCAGCCTTCAGCGTTGTAAGTGCCRGCTTTGGGATATAAAATCTAATAGGGAAATTAGAACCCATCCTTTCCATAGAGTTTTAATAACTGAAGAAGTTTGGACTGTTTCTGATATTCCCATGGTTGAACAGTAGTGGTTACTTTGAGAATGACATGCTTATTTATTATATATGAATTCTAATGCTTTATAATTGGTAGCAAAAAAATCTACCTTCTTTTCTGTAAAACTGTGACATCTGTTCTGCTAAGAATAATCAAGCTTTTACATCACTTTATTTCTGCTTGTATCCTGCCCACCTGAGAGATTACTAAGTAGAAGCATTCATCTCAAAACATAAATGTTGTCTTAAGTTTACTCCATTATTCAGGCAATGTTTAGTGTAACTGTGTCATTTTCTTGCAGTGATCCAGCCGCCAGAGCTCTCTGGGAGTCCTTCAYGAACCTCAAACAAAAGGAAGCTGTGATGGAGGCCAGGAGACACCTTGTGGAAGCTGCGAGCAGAGAAAATTTACCTATTAAGATGAGCATGGGTGAGTAATGTGACATGGTCTGCCTTAGTTGGTAGTAATGTGAAAGTTGATGTCAGCTCCTCTTTTTCTTCACATAACTCTCTTGGGAAAAACCTATCCATCCTTGTGTTGGTTCATCTCCATCRTTGTCAACAGATTTCAGATGACCATCATAACTACTATAGGATCTTTCTGGTATATACATGAGAGACTCTTTTTTTTTTAGTACAACAACCTTAAAAAGATTGAGAACCATGGAGAAGCAATGGAATTCTAGAAGGAAGGTTTTAAAGCCATGTAAATAGTTAGCAGTGCTACTTGTCTTTATTTTACAGAGCATGAGAATTTGGGTTTTCTAAAAAAAAATCAACAGGGCTTGTGTCCTGAAAGCAGGCATTGTAAATAGCAGCTGGAAGTTGTGTAGCTCTTGCATATGATGACATTATATAGGCAGTAGTTACATYACATGGGTAATGAGGTTTATGTCAAGTAAAGCTGCCTGGCTCAGGGGAGTTTAAGCTGAAAACTACTTCGGGACACACTTTAAACCTAAATTTTTGAGAATATTAGAGAAACAGATTAAGACATAATGACTTTCAATAGCTCTTTTAGAACCATGTTCTCATTATGTACCGTACTCAGTGAAATGTGGGAATTGGTATATTGCTAGGCATATAAAAATTGGTATTGTCTCTACACAGCAATATGTTTTTGTATTGTGTATATGCTTAGGTCTATTTTTTTGCTAAGCTTTTCATCAAGAGAGGAAGGTCCTCATGGAATAAGAGTAATAGACTTTTATCTGTGACTCCAGAGTAAACTACCAAGATATTGTAGAATTAGATGTAACACCTACTCTTGAACATTTAACAGCTATAACATAATATATTGTATGGTCTTTACAAATACCTACAGCATGCATTTCATAAACYATTAATCACAAATAGTAGATTTCTGCAATAGTAATGTTCTAAGGTGTTTTAAAGAAATGGAAAAGGAGCAGCTGAGAAAAGGCTATACAAATTTGTCTGAAGGAAGACAGGTTCAGTAAATAATAAAATCTTTAGGCTTTCAATGTGTGCATGAGTATTCACCATAATAATGTTCAGAATCACCCRCTATTTTTCTATGACATACTCTGTGAAACCAATTATTATTAATGCTTAAATTCMTCTTTGTTATAAAAGTAATTACTTCTTGTCTTTGAGAGGTAATGATCCATCTGTGACCTTTGCTCCTTTGTGTGAATAATTAGATTAGCCTCCCTTTCCTCTCCTGTCCCCTTCCTTGAGTATCCAGTGAAGGCTGCAGTAACCTGGATCTTAATCACAGTASCTGACTTTTACTGAATGTCTGACATACATGGGCCTGATATAATGCTGCATGGAAGCATTAGGAGTTGATGGTGAAAMAAATTTCTGATTTTTTTTTCTGTTGTTGAAGTGGATCATAAAGTAATATTCATATTATTATACAYATAAAGTAATATTCAAGCATAAAGTAATTTATCTTGCATTAGAATCATAATCAGTTGTTAACTTTGTAGTTGAAATTCAAAGGATAAAATAAAGTTTGAAGCAGTCCTGTAAATGGTATACAGGGATAACATCAGAAATGAGGAAAGGGGGGCACTACATTCACTGAAAAAAATTCTTATTGAGCACAAATGTAGAAAATCCAAAACTCACACCCAGATGTCACATTGTGCAGTGACACATATTTGTTAATGACTTTCTAAAACATATGTCTTCATAGCATTCACAGCTTGTTCATTGTGCTACAGAACACCTTAGTTCTCTGTAGGGAAGCTGGAAATTGTGTTGTTTATCAATTTGCTGAAATGGAAAAAATTCTAGTGGCCTGTTCTGGTCCTGATTGCTTTGTTTTCTCGTAAGGCTTCTTYCACTACAGCTGTGATATGAGGCAACACTGGCTGGAGAGAAGGGAAATGCTTTTATTGTGCGCTGTGCTTAGGCTTGAGTTTTTATTGTTTTACCTCAGGTTCTGCCTGTATTGGGAGATCTCAGTGGATTGCACATTGTTTTTCTCTACACTTAGGATATTTTCTGAGATTTTTATGGCCCTAATATTAAATGTCAGAGAGTTTTTCTACATGAAAATTTCCTCTTACACTCTTTACTAAGACCAGCTGTGTCAGATGTTAAGAGTATTTTCCTTACTGCTACTTTTTTGCTTTTTTCCCCCCTGGAAATAAGGAGTGAATTACATTTGAAAGCAAAGCTTTGAATTCCATTTGGTGTAGCTGAGCCCTCCTGCAGTGGCCACCTGCCTGAAAAACTGCATTACGTGTGACACGGGCAGCATGGGAGCCCTGTGCAGCAATGAGAAACTCAATTCCATCCTGTTTCTGTRTTTTCAGTGAAGGGAAAATAAATTCTGTTGTTTTTTTGGGCTTTTCAAGGCTGCTCATTGCTCTGAGGTGTTCATATGCTTGCCCACGTTTCCCCTGCAAGCAACGTGCCTGGTGCCCAGCTTTCCTCTTTCTCTGCCCGGCTGCCTGTGGCAGGAGCAATGACAGTTCTGGGGGGACACAAAACTCAAGCTTTCACTTTCTGATGTCATCTGAATGTGTCTTCCTCCTCCTGAGAAAGAAGGAGAGTAGGAAAACTGTAGGAGGGCTCACATATTCTCTCCAGCACTTCCAAATATCTGCAGGCCACCGGATACTCCATTTTCTTCCATTGAGATCACAGGAAGAGAGGAGAGGAGATCTGATGAAGGAGAAAAAAAGAGAAATAAAGGATACAATTATGCTCACAGTTTTTGAGCTGGGTAGATTGGAGCTCTGCTTTCAGGTGCTATTGATTTGCACATTCATTGTTTTAATTGTATCAAGGGGAGYGGTGATGAGGATGTCTGAAGTATTTGTTTGCAGGTAAACAGGTGGAGCTGTCCTTTTTTAGATACTATTTAAATAAAGAGGCATTAAAATATTTCATTGCAATCTACATATACACACATGCTTCAAAAACCAAAAGCCAACAAACAGCGCTTTCTAAGAAATATATCAGCTTTGTATTTCATCTGAGGTAACTGTGTTTGTGTTTTATTTGCCGTGGTGAGTGCTGATAAATACTTACCAAATTCTGGTCAGATATCCTGTTGTGTAGGTGTAAATTATTTTGGCATAATAAAAATYCTGGCATTTAAAATATATTTTATTTAAATAATTAAATATCCTTTTGAAAAGCTCTTTGGAAGACAGGATTGTCTGAATAGCTTTTGGTAAGATTTAGAGCAGTGTGCTAAATTTAATTGAAATYGTAAATACTAGAAAGGGATTACCTCTGCCCACCCCTTAGTAAGTGACTGTAATGAAGCTGCTCTGGAGCAGCAGAGAAGTTGTTGCTTTTTCCATTCCTGAATTTCCTGCTCCATTCTTCATAGGTCTGATGCATATCTTAATCATCCTCTGAGGGTGGCAGCCCCTGAATCTCTCCTTGAAAGCTTTGCTATTAGCATAGTATTTGGCAGTGGTAAAAACTTTGCTACAAATGTTCTTTTGTGACTTTAGCAACAGCCGTACTCTTCTGTTTRAAAAGAGCACAGGAAACCTTGATTGAGTCTGAATTCCTTTATTGTGTCTTTTTACTGGCATGGAGACTGATGAAAGTCGAAACACTAGTATAGTAACAGAAACAAAGTGCAGTGTGCTGTTACATAAGCCCTTGTTAGCGGAAGAAAAGCCATTTGCTTTCTTTCCATTTGAACTGTACAAATACAGTTTTAAAAAGCAACTTCACTATAAAATTAGCAAAGCCTCAGTCTTTGTGAAATAAAAAAAGAGTAACTTYTTCAAATGGGGTGGTTTGTGTGGATTGAATTGAACTCTAGTATTTGGGTAGAAATAGGAAGATGCTGACATTCTAGCATGATGATACGAAATAGCAGTTTGAGTTTACAGCAGTAGCTTAAATTGGACAGGATCAGTACAGTAGACCAATACTAAAAACATAAAGCATATAAAATAGGCATTATTTTCTTTTTAATGAAAAGTTGTATTTGACTGCAACAGTGTTTAACTATTTGCTCTTTATTAGACYGATGTAAAAATACTCAATACCATAAATTTCTGGAAAAAATTTTAGGGGTAAAAGCTACAAGCCAAGAAAATAAACTTATAAAATAAGTAAGTACGTATGTATCTTTCTAGAAAAAACATGTCTGATCTCAGTATCTAAAATCCAGCCTGGCCAGCAATTAGGACAATTTTGTGATAGAGACAAGGTGAGACAATACTGGTCTGAGTCTGAGGTCCTTACAGGKGCGTAGAAGGAAGGTCATCATTGCAGAGCTCGGTGTGGTCTGTGGGATATTCTGCAGCATATCCCTGAGTAAGTGGTGGGTACCTGGGTAACAGCTGGGTTTGGAGACACTGTAGCCCCCCTCCCCCCGCCCCATGCAAAGAAGTCATCATGTTGTAGACTGAATCTTGGGTTGCTTATTATGCTTCTCTGATGCCTGTTTGCCTGGTCTCCAATTCCTTCAGGAGAGCTTCTGCAGAATCAGTGTGGCAGCAGCTCTCCTCCAGACAGAAGTTCTCCTCCAGGCATCCTCATGATGTGAGCGGCTTCCTGTACCACCTCAACTGACACAGGCCTGGTTGTGTCACGAGTCCCAAATGTCCAGTGGTGGGTCTCACAGTGTTCCTCCAAGGGCTTCCTGATTTGCTCAGGGTGTTTTTCCAAGGAGAGGGAACACTGTTTTTCTCAGACCTGGATTCCTTCCTCTGTGCACCCTGGATCCTGAGCAGGTGGTTCTTAAGTTGAATTAGTCTGCTCTTTGTCTCTTTAAAAATAAAGGAGTCCTGCAGTGTGGGACTTTCTAGCCAAGTGGATTTTTTTTCCAGTCTATTGCAATACTGATTTCCTGATTTTTCCCTGTAGTGGAACTGAAAACGTAGTCTTGACCTGGAGCAAATGTTCCCAACCTCAATGATGGTCAGTATAGCAGATGTTTTGTTGCATCATTCACCCTGGAGGCAGGAAGGCTTTTTGCTT